AAAATATGGCTCTCTTTTTACTTAAATAATTGATATTTTTGTAATCCTGTCTCTTCCATATGTTATTACCAGCAATAGATTCATGTTTAATGGACTAAGGTTTAAAGTAAGGAAGGTGTTCTGCCTTTCAGTGTGACTCTACTTTTTGACCCTTCTGAATTTGATCTTTTGAGCCTTTTTTATATGCCCTATTTGTTATTTTCTCCTGAAAGTGATCAACTCTTTGCACTTATCAACGCTACCTTCAAGCCTAGATAACGTCAGCGGGAAAGTTCCAGAATCTACTCAGATATATAAGGACCTGAACAGTAAGTGTTATTATTTATTTATTCACTTGCTTTAGTACATTCATATAAGTACATTACTGGTGATAAAGCTTTTGCTTTAATGGTACAATCATATACATTTATGACAAAATATGAAAGCCATATATAAGAAAATATAAAAGTCATATCTTCATAATATGAAAGTCAACTATATGTGGTACATTTATATTTATTAATGTTTTACCAACACATTTGAGAAATTATTTTGTCAATTACTGAGAGAAATATAAGTAAGTGAATAAAATATGCACTAAAAGATTTGTAATGGACGATGAAGCATTCTCTGGAGAACAGGCTCAATTTGAAGAGGTTTGTTTATTCAAGAACCATCTGACACAATTCTGTTGAAAAGCAAGCTAACCCAGGCCACTATCAGCTGCCTTAAGTCAAAAGTCATCCTTTAATAATTGCTAACACTTGCTAATATGAAAGACACTGGAGAGGGCTTGGCATATATAAATCTCATACTTCACTGGACAATTGATTGTGATTTACTTTATTTATGTTACTTTTTAGCAAGAAGTCAGTCCCAGTTTCATACAGTGACTTCTAGTTGTATTTTACTTACTGGGTAAAATGCTTTATTAGTTAGAAAATCAATGCAAAGTATGTTTTTCACATTTATTTTTATACTAAATAAAATTTAAAGATAATGTATGTAAAACGTGTTACTACATAAATAATTATATAACATAGAATTGATACTAATACAATCATCATACGTACAGCCTGGATATATAGGAATAAAGATATATTTATTAATTAACCAGTATTGTGTCAGACAATATAATCCCTTACTCTTTGAATCTCTGTGTTTTTTAATTTAATTTAATTTTTTAATTATTTACTTTGTATCTCACTCACTGCCTCACTCCACCCCCTCCCACAACTCTTCCTCCCCTTTCCCTTCTCCTCTGAGGGGCTGGGGATTCCCCTACTCTGACACTTCAAGTGTCTGCTAGGCTAGGTGCTTCCTCTCCCACTGAGGCCAGACAAGGCAGTCCAGGTAGTAGAACATATCCCATGTAGAGGCAACAGCTTTGGCAATAGCCCCTGTTGTTTAGGACCCATATGAAGATCCAGCTGCACACCTTCTACATATGAGCGAGGAGGCCTAGGTCGAGTCATGTATGTTCTTTGGTTGGTGGTTCAGTCTCTGAGAGCCCTGATTGCTTTGAGATAGAGTGACATACGTCATCATTTTGCACTCATTCAGGATAAGGACTGCTCCTAAGATATTGTTCTCTAGGAAGGATTCCTGGAGGAGCAGAGGATAGCTATGGTCTCGTGGGAGGTTCTGATTTTGACCTTTATTTTATATTCTGGAATACTTGGTGGGTGAAATTAGCATAATATGCAAGAATGACCAGTATTATGCCACAAAACAAACTATTATGTTCATATATACATTCCAGGAATATGGCAAATATCAAGAAATTTCTCAAACTACATAGTTTAAGTTTTAGATTAACATTTGTTCATGAATTAAACTAGAAACTAAACCAGAAATTGTACCGATAAGTATGTAAAGAAGTTAAAAGTAAATATTGTCACAAACAAGAAGAGAGCATGGCATTTTATTTATTCTGACATAAAGCTCATTATAAACCTAAGTTTCTCTATCATGGGAGAATTTGAGGAAGGATCCAATTGAGCATGGTAGTGTATGCCTACAACTCGAGCATTAAGGAGACTGGAGTGGGAGTATCCTAGGTCAAAGTCAGCCTCAACACTGACTGCAGTGCAATAGCAAACCTAAAACAATGGTTACTGTGTTTCTGCCATCTGTCATGCGCAAGAAAAGTTAATGTAATTGAAAAGAAGCTACAGTATTCAAATTTTATCCTAGGCAGTGAAAATAAATGAAACACTTTGCCAGTTTTCTCACTGAGGGACTAAGCATAGCATTTCCTGGAGTACCTCACACCTTTTACACCTGAGATTTCTATATAGAAATTGTCTTCATTTCTCATTTTAATTATTTTGCATGGAATATGTTACATTTGTATTTGAAACACATAAAATTAAGATTAACTAGCCATTGTATGCTGATACTGTGCCCCCGTTTGTGTAGGTGTGTCTTCCGGACTGTAGTGGGCCTTTGTGAGACTCTCCTGCCTTTTGTCATAAGTTCATGTGATCCTTACTAATTAAATTATGTTTCCCTAACTAAGGAGCAAATTAATGGCTCTGTTGCAAATAGCTAAGAATTTAAAATATTTCCTCAAATAAGCCAAACTAAATTGACTTCCCTCTTATACATCTCCTTTAAAGCTATAAATGAATCTGAAAGGCACAAACTTGATAGTAAAAACAAGCAACCAAAAAAAAAAAAAACAGAACAAACAAAAAAAAACTTAGGTTATTTCTGAATGTAATATTTTCAAGGGGAAGCAGTTTAAAAACATACTCTTCAGTTTCAGCCCCAAACTCTGTCATTAGTGATTCTTTAAAAACAAACAAACAAACAACAACAAAAAAAAAAAAACCTGTGAAACAAGTTCAAACTATATTACACAGTATAAGAGGATTTAACATAATTTTTAAAAAGAAAAGACTAACAAAATTTTCTGGTTACAAAACTCCTCCCCACAAGACAAATTTTTTAAAAATCCCTTTCTCTGATAGGTCATTATCTATTGATTATTATTATGTCTATAAATCTCTTACCGAGTCTTCACACCAGTGTCAGCAGAACTCATTTGCCAATATGAAAAAGTGGAATTTAAATAAAGCCTAGCCAGACAAGTGATAGGATGTGGAATACGATCTTGAAGGTAAAAAGATTAACTATATCTGCTTACACCCAACCAATCTACCCATTACACCTTCTGTTGAAGGTATATCTCTCCATCGGTTGCTTTATAACTATTTACAATGAATGCTACCTATGCTGTCTACTGTAAGTACATTTGGAATAATGACAATGATTAGCGATCTTGAAATTATTATTAAAAATAATAGAATGTTAATATTCTCAAATTCGTGGGACATAATACCACAGTTTTTATAGTTAGTTATAAGACTATTTCAGTTGAAGAGTTCCTACTGTATCAACTGATTAATTTTCTCAAACTTTATGACGATGATAGTGAGTGATCCTATTAGTCTTCCCTACCACTAAAAAGATTATCAATTATTAGAACATTTTGATTTAGAAAAGATAACATATTTAACATGGTTTAGATTTGGTTTTCTAAATATGTGATACTTATTAATAACAAGTGCAGCTAAGAATTTCGTCATTCAGTGCTTTTGTTGTCCTCCAAAGCTGGCAATACATTTTATAAAGATTTAGTGGGAAACAACCTTTTCTCTAAGAGACTTTCTGTGATGATGTTGGAGGCAGAAAGGTAAAGGGAAGAAAACGCTTTCTTCGAGTTCAGCTGTGCATGGATTGCACACTCCTGCTTCAGATGTTGCCAAGTCATGGGATAAGTTCAAGCTAGAATTAGTGCATGTTCAACGGAAATGTTTCTTCACTGTTGAACTGCTAGGATACACTGCTTTTCAACCAGAGTGAGTTCAAGAAAAACATTCCCATGAGCTGTCAGGTCAAAAATCTCCTCACTGTGCCCATCTGTTCATAGAAGACAGCATGAGCATGAATCAGAGGATTACTACCTTTCTCATAGAAGATCTGTCAAAGCATGTTCTGCATTTTTAATGCTCCCCATCATCAAACACTGAAGTCAACACTTTGTTTCTCCCCAATGTGTGCACATTTGATTTACATTATTTCTAGCAATCATTCTCCTATAATATAGAAGCCATACATAATAAGCTCATTCAGTGTATAGGCATATTTATTCACGAAAAAAACAGTAACTTGATTTTAAATATTTTGATAATCTGGAGAGATGACTCAGCAGTTAAGAATGCTTGCTGCTCTTGTAGAGATCGTGGGGCTGGTACCCAGTACCACATGGGAAAATACAACCTTCTGTACCTCCAGCACTGTGAAATTCAGATGCCCTCGTCTAGCTTCAACGAGCAGCAGGCACACGTGCTGTGCTCCGAATACATAAAAGCAGGCAAAATACTCATTCATAAAATATAAAAAAAAATAAACCTTTTAAAAAATAAGCTGGGTGCCTTTACATTGCTTTTCAATTCATATGCTATTCATCGGTGTTTAATAACTTCATATAGAAAATTTGAGTGGCATTTTTACATGATTGGCATCTTTATTGATTGTCAGCTGTCGTGAAAAATTATAGCAACATTAAAAGACTTGAAGCAAAAGAAATCATTTCACCCACTGTCAATTGTGTGGGTGAGGGTGAGGTGCTTGGTTGGGCATTTCTGTTCATCATTTAGATATGATTCATGCACCTTAAAGTTATGTTGGTCTCTCCATGTTAAAGTCATACTAACCAGCTCCACAGGGATTGTCTGAAATGCTCTCACTTGACCCGGTGACGATGTCATGCCCTTTCTCTTACAACAATGACGCTGCCGTGGGAAGACTCTCCATCCAATGTTTCTTTAAATAATATAAAAGAATGAGGGTCTCACCAGTTTCTAACACGTTTAAAGAGAGACAGATATATTTTCTAATAATTGGGATTTTTATTTCTTCTCTATGTAAAATTCTGATAAGGTCTTGTGTTATAACACTAGGCAGGCATCTGCCTTCCCTAAGACCATTTGATTAAAATAAGATCACTGTAACACTCCCAAATGATGATTCTAGCAATCATTCTCCTATATTATAGGAGCCATACATAATAAGCTCACTCAGTGTATACGCATCATATTCATATATTCATATAATCACATCTGTGATTATAGCTTCAGCCAGGAAAAATAAACAAGCTCAGTTGTGTAGTTTAACTTGAAAGGTAATACAATCTGATAGGGCACTGTGAAATTAGAGTGGAGATTATTGCCATTTAAAATTAATTTATTCAATATATGAATAGATCAGATATATTGTTAATGAAACGTCACTAACCTTTTATGTAATCATATAATTTTTA